ATCGATTTAAATTTTTGAATTTTAATTCAATCAATTAAAGATTTTAAATTTAAACTAAATCAACTAAAATTTTAGAATTTTCACTCAATCAATTAAAACTTTTGAATTTTAATCAATTGATTAAAATTTTTGAATTTTAACTCAATCAATTTAAGATTTTAAATTTAAACTAAATCAACTAAAATTTTTTAATTTTGACTCAATCAATTAAAACCTTTGAATTTTAATCAATTAATTAACATTTTTGAATTTTAACTTAATCAATTTATGATTTTAAATTTAAACTAAATCAACTAAAATTTTTGAATTTTAAATCTATTAATAAAAATTATTGAATTTTGACTCAATCGATTTAAATTTGTGAATTTTAATTCAATCAATTAAAGATTTTAAATTTAAACTAAATCAACTAAAATTTTAGAATTTTCACTCAATCAATTAAAACTTTTGAATTTTAATCAATTAATTAAAATTTTTGAATTTTAACTCAATCAATTTAAGATTTTAAATTTAAAGTAAATCAACTAAAATTTTTTAATTTTGACTCAATCAATTAAAACCTTTGAATTTTAATCAATTAATTAACATTTTTGAATTTTAACTTAATCAATTTATGATTTTAAATTTAAACTAAATCAACTAAAATTTTTGAATTTTAAATCTATTAATAAAAATTATTGAATTTTGACTCAATCGATTTAAATTTTTGAATTTTAATTCAATCAATTAAAGATTTTAAATTTAAACTAAATCAACTAAAATTTTAGAATTTTCACTCAATCAATTAAAACTTTTGAATTTTAATCAATTAATTAAAATTTTTGAATTTTAACTCAATCAATTTAAGATTTTAAATTTAAACTAAATCAACTAAAATTTTTTAATTTTGACTCAATCAATTAAAACCTTTGAATTTTAATCAATTAATTAACATTTTTGAATTTTAACTTAATCAATTTATGATTTTAAATTTAAACTAAATCAACTAAAATTTTTAGAATTTTCACTCAATCAATTAAAACTTTTGAATTTTAATCAATTAATTAAAATTTTTGAATTTTAACTCAATCAATTTAAGATTTTAAATTTAAACTAAATCAACTAAAATTTTTTAATTTTGACTCAATCAATTAAAACCTTTGAATTTTAATCAATTAATTAACATTTTTGAATTTTAACTTAATCAATTTATGATTTTAAATTTAAACTAAATCAACTAAAATTTTTGAATTTTAAATCTATTAATAAAAATTATTGAATTTTGACTCAATCGATTTAAATTTTTGAATTTTAATTCAATCAATTAAAGATTTTAAATTTAAACTAAATCAACTAAAATTTTAGAATTTTCACTCAATCAATTAAAACTTTTGAATTTTAATCAATTGATTAAAATTTTTGAATTTTAACTCAATCAATTTAAGATTTTAAATTTAAACTAAATCAACTAAAATTTTTTAATTTTGACTCAATCAATTAAAACCTTTGAATTTTAATCAATTAATTAACATTTTTGAATTTTAACTTAATCAATTTATGATTTTAAATTTAAACTAAATCAACTAAAATTTTTGAATTTTAAATCTATTAATAAAAATTATTGAATTTTGACTCAATCGATTTAAATTTGTGAATTTTAATTCAATCAATTAAAGATTTTAAATTTAAACTAAATCAACTAAAATTTTAGAATTTTCACTCAATCAATTAAAACTTTTGAATTTTAATCAATTAATTAAAATTTTTGAATTTTAACTCAATCAATTTAAGATTTTAAATTTAAAGTAAATCAACTAAAATTTTTAGAATTTTCACTCAATCAATTAAAACTTTTGAATTTTAATCAATTAATTAACATTTTTGAATTTTAACTCAATCAATTTAAGATTTTAAATTTAAAGTAAATCAACTAAAATTTTTAGAATTTTCACTCAATCAATTAAAACTTTTGAATTTTAATCAATTAATTAAAATTTTTGAATTTTAACTCAATCAATTTAAGATTTTAAATTTAAACTAAATCAACTAAAATTTTTTAATTTTGACTCAATCAATTAAAACCTTTGAATTTTAATCAATTAATTAACATTTTTGAATTTTAACTTAATCAATTTAAGATTTTAAATTTAAACTAAATCAACTAAAATGTATGAATTTTAAATCTATTAATAAAAATTATTGAATTTTGACTCAATCGATTTAAATTTTTGAATTTTAATTCAATCAATTAAAGATTTTAAATTTAAACTAAATCAACTAAAGTTTTAGAATTTTCACTCAATCAATTAAAACTTTAAAATTTTAATCAATTAATTAACATTTTTGAATTTTAACTTAATCAATTTGAGATTTTAAATTTAAACTAAGTTAACTAAAATTTTTGAATTTTGACTCAATCAATTAAAATTTTTAAATTTAGCTCAACCAAATAAAATTTTTTAATTGTAACACAATCAGTTAAGATGTAAATTTATCAATTAAGATTAATTAATTAAATTTTTTGTATTTTAACTCAATAAATTGAAATTTTTACCTTTTAATTCTATAAAATTCTATAATTTAATAAATAAAAATTTTTCAAATCTAATATTTGTGTCCTTAAAGTTGTTAATCTTCAAATGCACAAAATTTGTTTTCTGTTTAAATATTTTCCAAAAATTATAGAAAAAAGTTGCATTTATTTGAAAATTAAAAATTTTAGAAGAATGTGAATAATTTAGTTTAAAGTTATTTAGATAAGAATTAATTTTTTTATTCCACAAAATAATTTATTTTTGAATAAATTACTCGTTCCTAAAGTTCCGAACGTTTAAATGAACGAAATTTATTTATTTCTCTTTAAAATAAATAATTTATTATAATAATATTTCATCAGGAATCAAAAAATTATAAATTTTCAAAATATTTAATGTAACATTTTTTAATTTTTATTGTCATTTGTAATTTTTTTAAAATGTTTATAATGAAAAAAATATTTCGTTCAAAATTTGTGAATCATCATTGAATCAAATTTTTCAATTTTAATTATATTGTATTTTCATTATTGTGTAAATTTTCCTAATTTTAATTGTTTTGATTAAATTTTCGACTTTTAATTTTGTTAATTCAAATTTGAAAATTTTAATTGTATTGTTTTAAATGTTCCAATTTTAATTCTGTTGATTATAAAATTTTCGAATTTCAATTTTATTGATTCAAATTTTCGAATTTTAATTCTATTGATTAGAATTAATAAATTTTAATTTCATTGCTTTAAATTAGAGAAAGAAATTAATAATTCAATTTTTTTAATTAAAATTTTATAATCCTAAAGTTCTGAACGATCAAATGAACAAAATTTATTTATTTATTTTTCAATTTAAAATGTTACAATAATTTCGTGTCACTAAAAAAAAATTATTAAGTTTCTAAGTGTAAAATTTAAGTTTTTAATTTTTATTGCTAACAGTAATTTATAAAAATATTTCTATTAAAATATGTTTCGTTCATTTGAACGTTCAAAACTTGTGGATCATAAAATTTTACCATTATAATATTAATAAAATTTATTAACATAAAGTTTAGCTAAAATTTTTTATTTATAATTGATTAAGAAAAATAAAAAAAATTGTCATTTATTTTTTGAATATTTAAAGTTGAAATTACCTCAATGATAACAAGATCGTACGGTGGATCGTTGGGAGGATTATTTATAATATTTTCAAAAATTTGATGCTTGAGTAAATCACACACTTTATCGCCAGAAAAGAGAAATAGATTTTTCAGCGAAATTGTCGAAAACATTTTTATATCGGAATAATTCATATTATTCACAATTGGATATAGTGTACCATCTAAACTAAAATCTTTATAATTTGAAATTGGAATTTTTTCTGGAAAATGACTAATCACATCGACTTGATGTCCACTTTTTGCCAATAATTTCATTAGTCGATTACAAATTACAAAATGACTTTGTCCCTGTAGGGGAAATATTCCCAAAATTCTTGCTCCTTCGTTTGGGTTACAATTAATTATAATTATGATAAAAATTAGTTGAATTGGAAATAATGAATTCATTCTTTATGGAAGAATAATTGATTTTTTTTTAATTTTACTTTTTTATATTCTATTTCTTTTTTGACGACGACAAACTATTGTAGGAACTGTCACTTATACTTTTCGTTTGCATTCTACTTTTTTTTATTAAAATATCTTGAAGATAACGATATATTTTACGTTTCTTAAAAATGAATACATTAATGAGTTTTATTTTGAGAGATATGCCAATCACTGTCTCTTTTTTCAATTTTAAAATTGAAACTTGTTAAAACCGAACTATATTTTCGATTATTGGAAAATTTCTTGTAAATCTATTGTCAATTAATTGTCAGTTAATTGTTAAGTAATTGTCAATTAATTGTTAATTAAATTAATATTTTTCTTGATTTAAAAATATTAAAAATGATTTATGTTGAATTTAGAGAACGTTCATAAAATTATTAATTAATATTGTCAATTAATTTTTAATAAAATTAATTTTTATCTTGCTTTATTTAATTATTTTTTTACGACGATGCTGTTTAAAAATATTAAAAATTATTTACATTGAATTTAGAGAACGTTAGTGAAAAAAGGGAAAAACTTTTTCTCTGTTATTTATTTATTCTCTGTTATTTAATAAATATTAATGTTATATAACGAGATGAAATATAAAAGAGAAATTTTCTGTTTTATTCGGATCGACATGAAATTCATTATCTTTTGTTATTGGATGTATTTTTTTGTTGATCGTCAAAAAACATTGATGAATTTTTCACATTATTCCGATATATAACTATACTATTTGCCAATTCAATTATTTTACGTTATTTTATAAAAGAATGCATTTTATTAAAAAATTTCTCTAATTATAAATTTATAATTTAATTATTTAAAATAATGCTCATTTATTTAATATAAATGAATATCGTATTTTATTAATTAAAATTATAACAATACTAATTATTATTTAGGAGAAATTTAAAATTCAAAAATAGGTTTATTAATGAGAAAATATACAAATTATGGATACAAATATAAAAAATTTCAATTAGTAATAATTAAAAATAAAAATCAACGATATTTTATAAGTACGTGTCAGTCATTCACTAGTTTTTTAAAATTAATGGAGACAAAGATATTATTTAAAATTCATTTAATTAAACGAAGAAATCTAATTGAAGGAGTATTTTAATTGCAGTTATAAATTGCATTATATAATAATGATGAATTTATTATTTCTTCTTTTTAGTAAGAAATTCTGCTTTGTTATTCCTTTTTTTCGTACCAAAAATATATTTAATTAAACCGCGAATTATTAATATTAAAAGATACATAACGAGGATGAAAACGAGGAGTATAAAACCGTAAACGTCCAATAATTGAACTTGATACCATGATAAATTGATTGCAGGGGAATGAAGAACGTTCCTATGTCTTATTATATATTCCACCCAAAAAACTGCAGTATCGTGAGGACTCATTGGTCGATCGTAATATAACTTTGATATTCTCTCGACGTTTTGTCTGAAAATAAAGAAAAAAAATATTAATTAACAAGGCAGTAACATCGGTTAATAATTTCTCATTTAAAAGACTGTTTAATAATTTAGATAATTAATGAACTAAATTTTAAATATTTAACTGATTAATAAGCTGTTTACTTAATTAATTCACAAATTAATTTGTTAAATAATTAACGAGTTAATTGTTATTACTTGAATAATTAACAAACTAATTATATAGATAATTAGAAAATTAATTAGTTAGACAGTTAGTGAACTAATTATTTAGTTGATTCTTTCTTTTCTGTACAAAAAAAATAATTCAGTTGATTAATAAGTTAATTATTTAAATAATTAATAAATTAATTTTTTTTAATAATTAACAAGTAAATTGTTTCGGTAATCAACCAACTAATTATCTAGATAGTTAAAAATAAATAATAATCGAAATAATTACGAAGATAATAAATTAATTAGTTAAATAATTAGTAAATTTCTTTGTTAGATAATTAAAACTTAACTGATTAATAAGTTAACAACAATCTGGGTGGTTAACAGGGTATCCGGATAAGAAGTCCAAAACAAAAAGTCCAAACCAAAAAATCCAAAGTAAATGAAATCCAAATAAGTAAAAAAAATAGTTTCACTTTGGATTTATTTTTTTGGATTTTTTGTCCTGGTCAAAAAGTGGAAAGAAATTAAAAATCCAATGAAAAAAATTGAGTTATAAAAATTTAAATGGTTGCCTTGAATGAAATTGTCCTTTTTTTAAAACATTTTATAGAATACTTGAAATTCTTCTAAAAATCTTTTTATTTTATGAAAATAATTGAAATTTTGTGAAAATTTTTTTTATTTTTGACAATAATTGTATTTTTATAAAGAATTTCATCAAAATTGTTGAAAATAATTGTATTTCGTGGAATAATTATTTTAAAAATTTTATAAAATATTTGAAATTCTTCTAGAAATTCGTTTACTTATGAAAATAATTGAAACTTTGTGAAGAATTTTTTTATTTTTGAAAATAATTTAATTTTTGTAATGAATTTCATCAAAATAGTTGAAAATAATTGTATTTCTTGGAATAATTGTTTTAAAAATTTTATTGAATGATTGAAATTATTCTTCTAGAAATTTTTTTATTTATGAAAATAATTGAATTTTTATGAAGAATTTTTTTATGTTTCGAAATAATTGAATTTTTGTAAAGAATTTTATCAAAAATGTTGAAAATAATTCCGATTTTATAGCATAAAAGAAATAACGTGGCTTTTTCACATGTTTTATTATTTATTTTGGAAGTTTTTATTTATTTTTGATTTTTTGACTTTGGGCATTTTCATTTTGGATTTTTTGTACTTTGGACATTTTTTTCTTGGACTTTCCGGTCTGGATTTATTGAATTTAAAAAATAATAGAATTGAAAAGAATTTAATTTAAACGTATAAAATTTAAAAATTTTAAAACTCCATTAATTGGAATTATTTTAGACACAGTTCAGGATTAATAAACAATTTTTTATAAACAATTGTTTATAATAAACAAAAGATAAAGTTTGATAAAAAAAATAATTTTTTATCTCCTGCTGATTATCGGCTATGGTTACTTTTTATTAATTGTAAATTAAATTAATTTTGAAGACACAGATATTATTTTGAATTGTTCTAGTAATAGCTCAGGACCAATAAATAATTTTTTTATTAACAATTATTTTCATAAATAATAAAATTTTTTACATGGATTCAATTATTTTCAGAAATAATAAAACTCATCGCATAATTTTAATTTTTTTTAATACAATTTTAATCGAATTCCTAGAAAAATTTAATTATTCTTAGAAATTTTATTAAAATTTGTCGAAAAAATTCAATTATTTAAAATTTTTTTGATAAAATTCTTTGTGAGAATTCAATTTTAAGAGACATTCAATTATTCAATAAATTTTTTTTTGAATTTCAAAAAGTTTGAATTTGAAATTTTTGAAATTGTTAATTCCTTTTGTCGCAACCCTGTATTTCTTTATTTCTTGTATTTCTATATTTATTATTTTGTCTATTTATTTTATTTTGTATTTTATATAACTAACGAACTAATTATCTAGAGCATTAAAAAATTAATTAGGTAGATAATTAATAATTTATTAATTAGATAATTAGCAAACTAATTATTCAGTTGATTTTTCGTTTTTTTTTACCAAAGAAAGAATTATTCAATTGATTAATAAATTAATTTCCCAGATTAATGAATAATTAATAAAATTAATAAAATTTAATACTAAAATAATTGACGAAATTTAGATAAATAATTAAAACTAAATATTTAGACAAAGATTTAGGCTAAAATTTCGACAACTTTGAGGAAACTAATAATTTGGAAAATTAATAAAATAATTTTGTTGATAATCAACTAATAGCTAATTAATTTTTTAATTAGGTAGAGAATTAATTAGTTGATTATTTATTAGTAATAACGAATTTTCACCTATATTCCGGATTTTCCAACACAGTCTTGATAGCATTTGTGAATTCACTTTCGGTGATATTTTTATAACTCAATGAAATCGCCATTCTTCGTTCTTGGTGTGATTTTATATTAATAATCTGATCTCCAAAGAGTGGAATTCCCACCATAGGTACTCCACAGTAAATTGCCTCCAAAGTACTCATTAATCCTCCATGAGTGACAAATGCTATCACATTTTTGTGCTCTAAAAAGAATTGAAAAAATATTTAATTAAATACAAATTAAATATTACTAAATATTATAGTAAGAAGTACTACTAAGTACTAGTATATTTCTAAGAAAATTGTAAATTTTAAATAGTAAATTCTGTTTCTAATATTTTGATAGAAAATTGAATTCCTTACTCAGAATTTGAATCTGCGGTAGCCATGAATGTGTTTTCACATTTTTCGGTAAATCTGCAGGCAATTCCTTTGGATTTGCGATTTTCATTAAAACTCGAACTGGCGCAATATTTCGAAAAGTTGAATAAAAAGCTTTAAGTGTCTCCCTTGGGAATGATTCTATTTTTACCATTGATCCAAAGGATATATAAATACATCCCGACGAGCTTTCGTCAAGCCATTGTTGTAAATCCTGCGTTCAGAAAAAAAAGGTTATTTTTTCTAAATCATTTTTTTTGTATTATTATTCTATTTTTTTTTATTTTTCTGCAACAAAAGAGAGAAGTTTGAAAAAAGAAAATAAATATTATACGGTTTTAACAACTAGGAGAGATTGAGTGTTTCAGGAGAGAGTATAAAAGCACTAGAACTGAAAGTAAGTTTTTGTACAAATATAGAGGAATACCGGATCTAATTTCCTTCCACTGTCCTCGATATGTAAACCTCCAACTTCAACAACAGCTGGAGTCATAGGTTGAATTCCATTAATACTGAAATGTGAATTCACTAACAAAAGATCTAATTCCGTTGAAAGTTGATAAATGTCCGGATAACCTGGTCCAAAGTGTTCATCGACGTATTTCGATTGTTTGTCCACATAATAGTTGAATACATGCTTTATAAAGTGTGACATTAGTGTGTTTTTTACACGTTGCCAAAAATTCATATTGAAATTTAATCCAGTGAATGGTCCAGGAATTATTGCCTGATTACCAGGATTTCCAATTGGTTCGCGAATCCATTCGTATAATGCCGCCGTTGAAACGCCAATCATTGGTACTTTTAGGTGTCGTCCAAGTGCAAAGTAGCAATGAGCCGCGAATACCTGAAAAAAAAGTTGTTTTGTACTTTAAATATTTCGAAATTTTTATTTCTTTACTTATTATTTATTTATACTTGTATTTTTATTTATTCTTTAATTATTCATTACTTTTTTTAATAGGTTTTATTTTCTTAATATTTATTTATTTATTTGTATATATTTTTTTTTATTTATTTTCTTCTTTTTTATTTTCAGAAGAGTAAAAGTGAGCAACGCACGAGACTATAGGAGAAGCGTCCCCCCACCCAGGGACCTTCCCCTTCCTTCGGTTCGCCATCCAATGAGCAAACTGTTCTTGCGAGTGGAAGGGAACGCTTCTCCTATACTTCTGCGGTTGCTAGTAATTTAATTTTAACCACGTGGAATTATTTTTTACGTTTAATTTTATTTGAAAAATTATAATTATTTTTCACTTCTAATTTTATTTGAACAATTTAAAGTCGTTTTTTATTCTAATTTACTTGAAACAACTTGAAAGTATTTTTTAATTTCAATTTGATTTTTACAAAAACTTAGAATTAATTTTTAATTTTAATTTAATTTAAACAATTTATAATTAACAGTTGACAATTAATTAACAGTTTGAAATTGTTTTCTATTCTAACTAAATTTTAACAAAATTTAGAAATATTTTTTAATTTTAATTCTATTTTAACAATTTATTATTGTTTATTACTTGTTATTTAATTTTAACAATTAAAATTATTAATTTAATTTCAATTTGATTTTGATAATTTAAAATTGTTTTACTTTTAATTTTATTTTAATAATAAGAATTCTTTTCATTTCTAAACTTTATTCTTATTTAATTACAATTAACAATTAAACTAATTTAAATTTTAACTAAATTAAATTCAATTACATTGAATAAATTGAAACAAAATTAGAAGAATTTTTAATTTTTAATTTAAATCGAACAATTTGAAATTGTTTTCAACTTTTAATTTTGTTTTAACAATTAAAATTTTTCAATTTTAATTCGACATTATACAGTTGGATAATTATTTTTTTACTTCTAATTTAATTTTAACAATTATAATTATTTTTCACTTCTAATTCTGTTTTATAACAATTTAAAATTGTTTTTTATTCTAATTTACTTGTAACAACTTGAAAGTATTTTTTAATTTCAATTTGATTTTAAGAAAAACTTAAAATTATTTTTTAATTTTAATTTAATTTGAACAATTTATAATTATCAGCTTTAAATTGTTTTCTATTCTAACTAAATTATAACAAAATTTAAAATTTTTTTTTAAATTTTAATTCTATTTTAACAATTTATTGTTATTTAGAACTACTTGTTATTTCATTTTCACAATTAAATTTAATTTCAATTTGATTTTGATAATTTAAAATTGTTTTTTACTTTTAATTTTATTTTAAAAATTAAAATTCTTTCAATTTCTAAATTTTATTCTCATTTAATTACAATTAACAATTAAACTAATTTAAATTTTAACTAAATTCAATTAAATTTAAACAAAATTAGAAAATTTTTAAATACTTATTTGAATCGAACAATTTGAAATTGTTTTCAGCTTTTAATTTTGTTTTAACAATTAAAATTTTTCAATTCTATTTCAACATTAAACAGTTGGAGAATTATTTTTTATTGTATAATTTAAATTTAAAATAGTTTTTCACTTCTAATTTTCTTTTGACATATATTTTTTTATTAAGAAACAGAAATTAGATTTAATGGAGTAAAATTGAAATAAAGAGTCAATTTTTATCGTCTTTTATCAGATAAATGAAATCAGTGAAGCAAGAAAAAAATAAGTAATCGAGTGCTTACTCTCAAATCATCAATTTTTTAATTATTTGATTTATAATTTTTTTTTCTGTACAAATATAGTTTATTATTTTATTATTAATTTTAAAATTGTTTGTTTTTCGAAGCTAAATAATAATTATTATTTGTGTCAAAAGATGAAATTATTAATAAAAATTATTATTTAACTTTGAATATAAAAAAATGTAACAATAGAAGTAAAAAATATTAATAATTTAAATTTTAATGAGATAATAAAAATTAATTTAAAAAGACTGTTTTAGCAAACTGCAAATAATAATAAATAATAAAAAACAAAACAAATAATAATAGTCTCTAATAATAATAATAGTATTAATAGCAATACTTGGAAAAAAATTAATAATAAAAATATTCAATATTCAATTAATTGGCTTTAAAACATCAAAAATGTGTCATAGAAATATTAATATTAAAATTATAAATATTAAAAATATTAATTTTAAAAATAATGTTAGTGAGCATAATTACAGCAATAGCAATTAACAGTAATTAATTACCTCAACAATGACGAGATCATACGGCGGGTCCTTTGGAGGATTTTTAATGACATTACTGATAACTGGATGACTTAATAATTTACATATTTGATTACCGGCCATATCGATAAATTCGCTAAAACCACCAGGACCAAATTTGGTAAATTGTTCGAAAGTTATGTTATTGACAACATTATGTAATGAGCCCTTAATACTTAAATCATGATAATTAGGAATTGGTTCTTTAAGAGGAAAATGGCTAATAACATCGACATGATGACCCTTTTTCGCTAAAGTTTTCATTAATTGTTCACACATAACAAAATGACTTTTTCCATTCAATGGAAATATTCCCAAAATTCTGTAACCATCACTTATTTCACTATTATTAATAACAACAGTAAGAATTGACAATATTATTAAAAAATTTATTGTCGCCATTTTAAACACTTAATTTATTAAAAGATTAAAATTAATTTCTTAACAACACTATTTTAGGAGGGAAAACTCTTTTTTTTTTTTTTTTGGTTTTATTTGAAATTTTATTTCTCGCAATAAAAATTTAACGTTAAAATTGATTGTTATTCTCAATAGATCGCAATAAAGAAACCGATTATTTCGAATGGTGAGTAGAGAATTTATCACATTGGTCTTGTAACATCATCATGAGAAAGAAAAGAGGGAGGGAGGGGATAATAAAAATGAACTTTACTGCAATTTCGTTCAAGGTCATAAATGATAAAATTGTCGCAGTTATATTTTCTAATAAAATGCATATATATATACTCTATTTAAAGTTTTTTAATATATTTTGAAATTAGTCTTTAGTTTTGAATATTTTTTTAAATCAATTTTAAAAATGTCGATATGTCAAAAATATCAAATTTGAAATTAATTATTTATAGTAAATAGTAAATTTGAAATTTTCACTTGTTATTATTTTAATTAATAAAATATTGACAGAGAAATTTGTGTACTAAAATGTAAATTTAATAAAATTTGCACTTGTTTATATTTTAATTAATACGATGTTGAAAGTGAAATTAATTTAGTAAAGTAAGAAGTAAATTAAAAATTAAATTAAACTAAAAATAGATAAAAATAGAATTTGAAAATTTTTAATTATACACATTTTTTATTTTTATTTTTTTTTTGGGGAAAAAAGTTTATGAATTAAAAATAATAAATGCGACATAAAAAATAGAAATTGTGGCAGTTTTTTTATTGCTTCTTTTTTGACTCTAAATTTTTGGTAAACGTAATAAAAATAAAGAATTTAAATAATTTTACAACAATGAAATACACTGTGTAGGATATTGCAAAAGTAATTAGTAACAAAAATCCATAAACGTCTAAAAGTTCCAACTGCCACCATTGTAATTTTGTAGCTGGCGATTGAAGTACATTTCCATTTCTTCCAATGTATTCAATCCAAAAAGTTGCTGTTTCCAAAGGACTCAATGGTCGATCCTTGTATAATTTTGATAATTTATTTACATTTTTTCTGAAAATTATATTTTTTTCTACCACACGCACCGAAAGTACACCATTTCCTACGTGTTTAGCGGGAGAAAAGTGTATGATTCCCTGCGAGCGGGAGGGAATGTACATTCCCTCCCGGCTAGTGACGTCACCGGGAGGGAATGTAACATTCCCTCCCTGTGAGGGAGGAAAAGTAACTTGCTTTCTCGGTAATATTATCAAAGTATGACCATTGATGAATCAGTTACGTGAGTTACGTCAGCTAAGTGACTTACGTAACTTACGCGAGTTACGCAAATGGTGTAGTTACGTAACTTACGTAAATGGTGTAGTTATGTTAGTCTTTCGAGTTACAAATAATAAATGATTTACGTAAGTTACGTAACTTACGTTACTTACGTTACTTACGCTACTTGCGTAAACCTACGCTCTTTGGGTTAGTTTAGTTATTTTAAGCTTTTCACAAACTTTCAGTTACCACAGTTGTAACTATACCGCCCCCAGCTACAACTATACATTCAAAAGTAACAATCAAACTGCCGCGTTTGTACTTTCGGTATACGTGTGTTAGAAAAAATAGTATGTGCAACTCGGGAGGAAAATTGATTTCCACTCGTGTTTTACAGTTCTCGGCTTCGCTCGCAAGCACTCGCCTTCGGCTCGTTTGCTCGCTACGCCTCGAACTGCAAACTACACTCGTCGGAAATCATCCATTTCCCTCCCTTGATGCACAATCTACTATTAAATCAATATTTTACGGTTTATGATTAAATAGATTTTGAATTTAAATTAACATTCAAAGAAGAAGAGGAATTTAAAATAAATTGCCAAGAATTTTAAACAATACGCATTTGAATTTTAATTGTTAGAAAAATAATTACTGTCAAATTTGGTTTTACTGATTTTTTCAATTATTCTTTTTAGTTGATTCAAAAATAATTATATTGTGAACATCAGTTTTACCAATTTATTCCATTTTTTTTTTATTAATTATAGAAAATAATTGTTTTCAAATTTAGTTTTACCAACTTTTTCAATTAATACGAAAATAATTGAATTTTCCCTTAATTAATAGTTAATTATTATTGTGAACTTCCGTTTTACCAATTTTTTCAATTAATTGTTTTCTCAATTAGTAAAAAATTAATTATTGTAGAGTTTAGTTTCACAAATATTTTCAATTATTTTTTTTTTTATCAATTAGTTTAAAATTAATTAGTGTAGAATTTAGTTTTACCAATTTTTCCAATTAATACAAATATAATTGCTGTAAAGTTTCATTTTACTGAAAATTTTACTTAAAATACTTAAATAATTATTGTAGAGTTTAGTTTCAGAAATTTTTATATTATTTTTAAATACATAAATAGTTATGGTAAATTTTAGTTATACTTATTTTTTTCTGTTATATAAAAATAATTATTGTGAACTTCAGTTTTACAAATTTTTTCAATTAATCAGAAAATAATTATTTAAAAATTTTTTCCTCAATTAGTATAAAAATAATTATTGTAGAGTTTAGTTTCACCAATTTTTCAATTAATACAAAAATAATTATTATAAAGTTTGTTTTTACCCATTTTTTCAATTAATACAAAAATAATTATTGTAAGATTTATTTTCACCCATTTTTTCAATTATTATACAAAAATAAGTAGTGTAAAGTTTAATTTTACCGTTTTTTTTAATTAATACGAAAATAATTATTATATAGTTAGTTTTTACCAATTTTTTCAATTAATATAAAAATATAATTATTGTAAGGTTTATTTTTACCCATTTTCTCAATTAGTATAAAAATAATTATTGTAGAGTTTAATTTTACCGATTTTTTTAATTAATACGAAAATAATTATTATAAAGTTTAGTTTCACAAATGTTTATGAATTAATACAAAAATAGTTATTGTAAATTTTTGTTTTACCAATTTTTTCCTACTTTTTTTCAAATAATTCAAAACTAATTTATTGTACTTTAATTTTCACAATTTTGAAAACTTATATATTACTGATTTTTTAATTTTGGTTTTTCTATTAAAAAAAAAATGAAAATTGAAAATAAGTATAATATTAAACAGACAGTTTGTAGATGAAACAAAAACAAACTTTATATAGATTTAAATTTACATGAAATTTACATTTATATTATATCTATGTACTTTAAACTATTTCCTATTATCCTCTGACGTTTAATTTAATGTTTTTAAATTTAAATTTAAAATTTAATGTTCAATATATACCTGTACACAGAATTTTGAAAAATTTCCGTTATGGCATTTATAAGTTGTTCGCCATTCAAAGTTTTCCAATCTAAGGAAATGGCAATTTTTCTTTGAACCAAATTTTCCAGATTCGATAATTGATCCGCAAACAATGGTATTCCAATCATTGGTATTCCGTTCAAAATTGATTCCAATCCTCCCATCATTCCCCCGTGTGTTATAAATATTTTCATATTTTTGTATTCTAAAAAATGGTAATTTTCGTTAATTTTCGATTTTTGATTTTCGATAATTTTAGTTGATAGACTTTTTCGTTAAACTTCCTTGTGAGTAATGTTGAAAATTTTAACTTTTGTTAGTTTCTACAAATTTTGTCAAAAATGGGTTAAAATTTTAGTCGCATTTGTCATTCTTGGATAGGATAACAATTTACCAAAGTTTCAAAAATATTAAATTGAAATATTAAATATTTCAGCGAATATTAATTTTCTGTTTGACTTACTAAATACAAGTGATTGCGAAAGCCAAGAGAATGTCTTGACATTGCTTGGAAGTTTCAATTTTAAATCATCGGGTTTTTTAATTTTGATTAAAAATCGAAATTGTGGTAAATTTTGAAATGCTTCGTAAAAGGCTTCAATTAAATGCCTTGGAAATGTTTCAAAAAGAACCATTGATCCGAAACTTATGTAAATACATCCATTGTTACTATTGTCCAGCCATTTTTGAATATCCTGCAAATTAAATAAATGAGAAAATTTAATTTATAATCAAATATTACAATAATTTTCATTATTTATAGCATAGAATTTCTTGATGCTTCAAATTTTGTTTTACATCTTTATTATTTATAATTTCTATTATCAAAATTTGTTTTCTTTCAACAAACTAGTTTTTTTACTATTTAAAAGAGTTGTTGTTTAAAAAATAAAAGGAAAAGAAGAAAACCTCTTTTCTAGTAAATAAAAGACTGTATTTTATTCAGTACAAAAGAGTTTGAAAGGATTTAAATATTTACATCGGGCAATTTTTCTTCGTCTTCCTGAATATGTATTCCACCAACTTCCACAATTGATGTTGTCAATGGTTTGACGCCCGTTAAACTATAATGTGAATTGACCAAAACTAGAGCAACACTTTTTTCGAGTTGATTAATATTGGGAAAATTTTCATCATTAAAATATTTTCTCACATAATTATTCTGCTCTTGCGAATAATGATCGAACATTAATTTCGCGTGTATTGTACTGGCAGTGTTGATTAATCTCTTGAAAAAATTTACAATAAATGAGTCATTTTTCGATTGGTGAATTAATGATGTACTCAATGGATTGCCAAAAGGTTCATTCATCCATTCGTAGAGACTACTACTTGTCACTCCGATTATTGGAATTTTGAAGTGGTGCCCAAATGCCAGAAAGCAAGGATTCATGAAGATCTGTAAATAAAAGGGAATTTTTTCGACAAACGAATTTTTTTACTGGAAACTTTTTTTTCATTTACTTTTGTAAATTAAATTAAATTTTTCGATAAACGAATTTTTTTAGTGGAAACTTTGTTTTCCATTTACTTTCGTAAATGGAAAAAAAAGTTTCCTCTAAAAAAATTCGTTTATCGAAAAAATTTCTTTTTCAGCTCTAAATTAGTTTTTAACTTGATATTAAATAAGTAAAGTAAAAAAAATTTTTTTAATAGTAAAAATAATTTTTTAAAAATGAAAATAATGTTTCAAAAAACTCACTTCGACAACAATAAGATCGTAGGATGTTTTTTTGAGTGGTCCTTTAATAAAATCTTGCAACACAGAATGTCCGAGAATATCACAAAGTGCATTCATTTCCTCTTGTAAGAAATCTCTGATCCAAAAAAATTGCGATATATTTTCTATCATTTGAAATGTGACATTATTTTGTGTTTCTGGAGCAGTGCCTTTAATACTGAAGTCACGGTAATTTTCTTGGGGAATTTCTAAAGGAAAATGACTTATGACATCTACTTTATGTCCCTTTCGCGCAAGTTCCCTCATTATTTGTTCAAACATCACAAAATGACTTTTCCCCGGAAATGGAAAAATGCCAAGGATTTTGTATCCATTGTTAAATTCAAAATTCAACGTCACACTGAATAATAATATCATGAAAATCTTTTGCGAACACATATTATTTTTGAAAGGAAAGAAATTTTTCTCTCTTTATTTTTTTATTCTTTGTTTACTATTCTTTTTTATACTATTCTATTTTATTTTACTACTTTTAGTATTTTATTTATCACTTTTACTATTTTATTTACTATTTTTACTATTTAATTTACTATTTTCACTATTTTTTTTATTTTCTACGATTAATTTACTATTTTCACTATTTTATTTACTACTTTTGGTATTTTATTTACCACTTTTACTGTTTTATTTACTATTTTTACTATTTAATTTACTATTTTCACTATTTTTTTTATTTTCTACTATTAATTTACTATTTTCACTATTTTATTTACTACTTTTGGTATTTTATTTACCACTTTTACTGTTTTATTTACTATTTTTACTATTTAATTTACTATTTTCAGTATTTTATTTACTACTTTTGGTATTTTATTTACCACTTTTACTGTTTTATTTACTAGTTTTACTATTTAATTTACTATTTTCACTATTTTATTTTCTACTATTTTCACTATTTTATTTACTACTTTTTCTATTTTATTTACCACTTTTACTATTTTATTTACCACTTTTACTATTTTATTTACTATTTATATTTTCACTATATAATTTATTATTTTCACTATTTTATTTACAACTTTTAGTATTTTATTTACCACTTTTAGTATTTTATTTACTACTTTTACTATTTTATTTGCCACTTTTATTATTTTATTTACTATTTTTACTATTTAATTTATTATTTTCACTATTTTATTTTCTACTATTTTCACTATTTTATTTACTACTTTTAGTATTTTATTTACCACTTTTAATATTTTATTTTCCATTTTCACTATTTAATTTACTATCTTAACTATTTTATTTTCTACTATTTTTTTTACTATTTTATTTTTCACGTATGCTTACTATTTTATTTAATAATTTTTTTTTCACTCTATAATTATTTATATATTTTAAAGTTCAGAGTTTTTGGTGTACTTTTTTATTTATTGTTTCTTTTATTTTTTGTTTAGTTATTTATTTATTGTTTTATTTACAATTTTAATTTTTTGGTCATTTCAATTATTGTTTATTTAATTATTTGCTTTATCTTTTATTATTTATTTTATTTTTAGTGAATTTTCCATTGTTTCTTTATTGTTATTAATTGTTTAAAATTGTATTTATATTTTTTATTAATTAAAAATATTTTATTAATATTAAATATTTATTTCATTGATTTGATATTAAATATTTTTGTTATTGATTTGAGATTAAATATTTTTTTATTGATTTGATATGAAATATTTTTATTTATTAATTTGATATTAAATATGTTTTTTATTAATTCGATATGAAATATGTTTTTTATTAATTCGATATTTAATGTTTTTTTATTAATTCAATATTAAATATTTATTTTATTGATACGATATTAAATTTTTTTTATTGATTCGATATTAAATGTATTTATTTTATTGACTTAATTTTCAAAAAAGAAATTTCTTTTTATTGTTGAAGAAAAAGAATATTGCGACAAAATTCAAATGATACATTCGTTCTTATTGAAGATTATAAAAGAAATAAATGCTCTCGGTGACAGTACTTTATCAAAAAACGAATAAAAAATAACTGATAACTATTGAGAACTACATGTGCTGCTTTGAGTAGAACTCAAATTAAAATCACATTTTATTATTTATCAAGAATTTTACACTATTAGTTCACATTTTATATCACCTATCTTTTAATCAAGAAATTCTGAAATTGACGATTTAAAGCGTTTGCATTGTTGGGGGGGGAGGCATAAATGCCAATACAATGCATAAATTCAATATTATTATTTTTATTATTTTTTTATTTATTATTGTTATTATTATTATTTATATATTATTATTTTTTTTATTAACTGATATTTAAAATTTTACTTTATAGTTCGGTAAAACGTAATAAGAGAAGTATACGCTATATTTATATTTACTGAACAGTTCTGTAAAACTTAGAGCAAAACGCATACATAATATAAACATTTCAGGCATGGTTAGTGAAGAAAATAAATTTAAAATTATTAAAAATTATGATTGTGACACTATATTCGTCGATGAAGTTCACTACGTTTATAATCAACGATTAAAGAAAAAACAATAGTTTTTTTAACGAATAATATTATAGCATTTACGTAAGCAGAAAGATAAAATTAATTTTTCTTTATTTTCGTGCAGTTGTAAATTCCAATATTACAAATAATTTGTTTGATAAAGAAAATTTTTTTAAACGATAAAGTTACAGTAGTAAAAATTTATTTATATATTAAATTATGCATAATGACAGAAATTTATAGTATACAAATTTTTTTCCTTTTAAATTATTTATTGTATAAAACAGACAATTAATATGAGTATAAGTATAAATTTTATAGACTAGAGTTGTGTAATTTTTTTTTGTATAGAAGGAGAGAGAGAGAGAGAGTGAAAGAGAGTGAAAAATCTACATGTTCTTCTTAGCAATTCCTGATATGAATTTTTTATGAGATTTCAGTCTTCGTAAAAATCTTATCAGAATTCTCGAAAGAGAATAGATAAGGTAGAAAGTAATGAAAATGACAAGAAATATAAATCCATAAACGTCTAAAAGTTGCACTTGCCACCATTCTAAATCAATGGCCGGCGATTTTAGAATATTTCCATTTCGACAGATGAATTCAACCCAAAATATTGCCGTTTCCAGTGGTGAATTTTGTCTGTCTTTGAATATTTGGGATAATTCTCTTATCCTTGTTCTGAAATAGAATAGAATTTTTTTTTTTGAGTATCAAATCATTTTTAGAGTGAATCAGAATATTCTTTAGGGTCAAGGAAAATATCAAAATTTTGTCTGGAAATCAGGGAAAAAGAAAATTAAATTTTTTGTGGCAACCCTGATAAAATGAAAGAAATGTTTGATTAACAGAGTGGTCACTGGACCATGAAATCCGGGAAATGACAGTAAATTTTCTTCTTGACCAGGATTTTGGAAAATTTTTTTTTAAAAACACTGATTATTTTGTGACACAAAAAAAGAAATATTTATTTTAAGACTTATTAATTATATTTCATTAAAAAAGATTGAATGATCTTCTATAAAATTATCGTTATATTTTGTCGAGGAATTTTATCAAGAGTACTGGAAAAATATTCAGTTTCTAAAATTTATAAAAAAGTTATGAATTTTGTTGTCCAACGTAACAGACTTAAAAAAAGATAATATTAAATTTAATTTTAAATTCTTTTTATTTCTAACAATAATAATTAAACAAAATTTTAAACAAATGCGTCAAAAAAATTTGAAAGAAAAAAAATTTCACATTCTATAAAATAGTGAACCTAAATCAATTTATAATTTTTTTTTTGCAATAATATTATCACAAAACAAATTTGAATTGGTAAAAATTTAGACTAATTTGTACAAAAGTGATACGAAATTTATAAAAATTAAATTTTAAATAATAAATAAAGTAGGTATACCTAAATAAAAAATTAAAATAAATAACATTTTTTTCTTAGAAAATAAATTTTTAAATAACTATTTTGCATTAATATCAATTCTTTTTTTTACAATTAATCATAAACAACTATTTCTATATTTTAGAATGTTAAATAATTAATACTAATATTAATATAGATTGAATTTAAAAAACTTTCAAATTAAAGTTTTAAAAAAGTTGAATTGTAAAAGATTTTAATTTAAAATTCTGAATAAGTTAGTTTTCATGAAATTGTCTTGTAAACTAGTGGATTTTAGTTAAAATTTCTAGAAAATAATTGAATTGAAATTATAAACATAATTTTTAATAAGTTACAGTAGCAATTCTTAAAAATGCTTTTGTTTTTTTTTTCTTTAAAAAAATATTGTTTGACAGATCGAAAAAATGCAGGTATTTTTTCATGATTTATAATAAAACAATATTTGAAATTAGAAAATATAAAAAAATTGTGATTAACAAATAAATTTTGTTTATTATATGCTTTTTCTATAACAAATTTCATTTGACTGATGTAAATTATTATGCAAATTTTTCTCCTTTTTATTTATAAAAAATATAATTAAGAAATAGGAAATATATCCATTTTATGCATAATTTATATTTCCCAATAACAATATTTTTCAGAAACTCATTCTTTTCTTTTGGAAAAGAAACATTACATATTCTATTCTATTTGTCAATTAGAAATTTTAATTGAAAATGAAATTGAAATTTTTAAAATTTTTTGAAAATAAAGGGAAAAATTTTACTCAAAAAAATGTTCTGCTGTTACATTTATTTACGAATTTCTTTAATTGTAAAATTATTCGAAAACATCAATAACTTTTTTTTTAAATAAATATTTAATCGCAATATTATTTTTCCAGAGGAATTAAGAATTTCAAAAATTTCAAATTCAAATTTTTTTAAATTCAATAACTTATAAGAATATTTTTATAAAACATGAAGATAGCGATTGTTCCGAGTCGAAGACTCGGAGTGATCGATATCTTCATGTTTTATAATAATTAAATATGACCGAATGATAAAATCATTGTTTTATATTATAAAGAATATTATTACAGTAACTCTTTCAAAATTATTTTCATCATTTCATATCAATTGTTATTTTCTACAATTTTTAATTATTTTTTATGAAAATAATTGAATTCCTTCAAAAAAAATTATTATTTATAAAAATAATTGAATTATTGCGAGGAAATTTATAAAAAATTTGTAAATAATTGAATTTTTGAGAAATTTTTATTATTTATGAAAATAATAAATTAAATGTCTGCGTACTATTTTTGGGAATTTGAAATTGATTTGAAAATAATTGAACTTTGGGGAAGAATTTTGTTATTTATAAAGTTCCTTGGGATTTTGACGAGAATTTTTTTTAAATTTGAAAGATAATTGAATTTTATGAGAAGAATTTTATCACTCTTGAAAATAATTGAATTTCTGCAATTATTTGTAATTTTTCCAAAATTGGATTTTTTTAGTGTTTCAAACAAAAATTTGAATTACAAATTTTTAAATTCTTTTATTTTTAAAATTGCTAATTTTACCATAAAAAGTTGATTAAAATGGATAATAATGAAATATTTATTTCAAAAAATCTATTTTTCCAAATGAATTTACATAAAGATATTCACAAAAAATGTATTATAAACATATTTTGAAGTTTCCATTATTTTTAGATACTAAAATATTTTTAGGATTTGGGAAGAAGTCAAAGTTTTGTTTAAAAATCAGATAATTCTTTCAATCTTTCATGGAATAATTTATTTTCAGAGTTATTTTTTTATGAAGTATTAAGGATTAAGTAGTGAAATAGGTAAAGTCAAGAAAATGTGTGAAGAATGGGAAAGAAAATGGAGTGAAGAGAAGGAGAAAATGTACGAAAAGTTAGAAAAATTAGAAAAAGGGCAGAAAGATATAGAAGTAGAAATGGAAGTGGAATTAAATATGGTAAAAGAGGAAGTGAGAGAGTCAAGAGAAATAATAGGGGAACTAAGAAAGAGGGTTACTAAACTAGAGGCAGAGACAGAAGGAGGTATAAAAAATCAGGAAGCATTGGTACTGGAAGAAAAAATGAGTGAGGTTTCAAGATGGATGGAGAGGACAGAAAAAGAGAAGAGAAAAAATAATATTGTGATTAAAGGAATGAATGTGGTAAGAAGAGAAGGAAGAAATGCTATACAAAAAGTGCTAGAGGACATAGGAACGGATGTAAAAATTATAGGATTGAATGGGGTAGGAGGGGAGGATAAAGAGAAACCGAAAGTGTGGATTGTGCAACTGGAGAATGAAGAGCAAAAAATGGAGGTGATCTCGGCAAAATATAAACTGAAAGGTAGGAAAGAAATTATAGAGGAGGACAAAACGTGGAAAGAGAGGGTGATTTCAAGGAAATTAGAACAGAAAAAATGGGAAGAGAGGGTAAAGGGAAGTGAAGTTAAACGGGGAAGAGAGTGTTTGTGGGTTAATGGCATTAAGTGGGTGGTCTGTGATACAACTGGAGAGGTGGTGGAGGAGGAACGGAGAAGAGAAAGAAACGTATCGCAGGAAAGGAATAGAAGAAACAGAGGGCAGGTTTTTCGGAAGGAAGAGGGGGCAGTTGGGGAAGATCACAGAAAGCAGGAATAAAAGTTGGGTTTTGGAACGTAGGTGGCATTAAAAATAAAGACGAAGGATTTTGGAGAACAATAGAGAAATGGGACGTGTTGTTTCTTAGCGAGACGTGGGTGGAAAAGAAAGATTTGAAGAAAATAGAAAGGATATTACCAAAAGGGTACAGATGGAAAATGCAGGAAGCGAAGAGAGATGGACAAAGAGGAAGAGGATCAGGAGGAATTATTTCAGGGGTAAGAAAAGAGGTTAAGGAAGTAAGAAAGGATTGCACGATTGTAGACGAAGATTGTATAGTGAGAAGTATTAAAAGAGGTAGAGAAACGATAGATATAGTGGGAATTTATAGAAGAAGGGGTGAAGAAAAGGGATGGGGAATAATTAAAGATTGGATGGAAAAAGGAAAGGATAAGAAGGTAATAATTGGGGGGGATTTAAATGCATGGACCGGGGAATTGGGGGGTGGTTTGTGGGATGAAGAGCTGGAAAAATATAGTAGAGTGTCCAGGCATAAGAAAGTGGATGAGGAGGGTAGGAGACTTCTACAATTGTTGGAAGAAGAAGGATGGTCCATTGCCAATGGAAATATGAGAGGAGACGAAGAAGGAAATTTCACCTATAGAGGAAAAGGAGATACCGTTATAGATTACGTGTTGACAGATGATAAGGGTAGGGATGAAATCATTAAAATGAAAATAGGTAGAGAAATAGGGTCTGACCATTTTCCTTTGGTGGTAGAATTAAGGGGTGGGAATAGGAATGGAAGAAGTGGAATGTACAAAGGGGTTAGGAAACAAAAGAAAATTAAAATGGGTAAATGGAATGTGAAGAGGCTAAGCGAATTTCAGGAAAAAATGCGGAGAGAAATGGAAGAGTGGGAGGATGAAGAGGGAGTGGATAATAAAATAATAAAAATAAGAATGAGGCTGAAGTCCGCAACGTTTTAAAAAACGAATGACACAAAAAAAAGAAACAAACTAATTCGCCCCACAGTAGCGATTTTTCTCTTCATATCACTACTATATATCCAAAAAAAGACAAAATATGAATTCTCAGCACCCTTAGCCCTTCGGAACCCTTCCATTAAAAGTCAAATTGTAACAAAAATTAATAATTTTTTTTTAATCAATAAATGGCCTAACAGTAGAAATTTTTTTTCACAAATTTCTTTTATTAGGTCACAATAGTGTGTACAAAAATTTTCAAGACCCTAAGCCCTTCGGAACCCTTCGTTAATTTGTCAAAATATTCCGAAAAACTAAAATTTTTTTCTTTAAATATATAAAAGGCCCAACAGTAGAAATTTTTTTACATGAATTCGTTACTAGAGGTCACAATAGTCTGCAAAAAAAAATTCAAGGTCCTAGGCCCTTCGCGACCCTTCGTTTTTTTCCATCAAAATTTTATCGAAAATTTTTAATTATTTTTTTTTTAAGTAAAAATGGCTCAACAGTAGAAATTTTTTTGCATATATTCGTTTTATAAGGTCTCAATAGTCTGCAAAAAAAGTTTGAAGGTCCTAGGCCCTTCGCGACCCTTCGTTTTTTTCCATCAAAATTTTATCGAAAATTTTTAATTATTTTTTTTCAAGTAATAAATGGCTCAACAGTAGAAATTTTTTTGCATATATTCGTTTTATAAGG